CAGGGAATTGTTTACAATGAGTAGTTGATTTACTCTATCAGTTGTAAATGAAGAAGTTTAGATGTTATCTTCTTAATTGATCCCGTTAAGTAAGCTATCATCAAATTTTATTTTCACCATTGAGACAATGGAAAAGAATAATTTGTACTTGAAACAAGGACAAAATGTATAGAACAACAGGTTAGAAATCTTTAGATTATTTATCTTATTATATTCTTTATATTGCAGAAAAGCAGTTCAAATACCAAAAGTTTGATGGATATAGTTGGGGAGTTTGCCTGAAGACATTTATTTTTTCATGAGTGCATGTGGAATGATTGTATCAATATATTTTTATGACTAAGATGTTATGATTAACCTGATTGCTGAGAACATTTTTCAAGCTAAAAATCAGTTCTTTAATTTCAAATAATTAAAGATGCATGGATATCTCTCATATGTTTCAAACATATGAATTAGAAATCAGAGAACAGATAAATATATAGACACAAGCGTACTAAGCTAGATGATGGAAATTCTGGTTTGCCTTTTTAATTGTGGCATGATGAAATATCTAAACACATAAAGATAAACTTATGTTGGTGATTTTATGATTAAATTCAACTAAAATTTGAAAGAAAAAATATTTTATTTCAGTTATTAATATTAAATGTGTTATGTTAGATAATTTTTTACTTACTGTTTTATTTTAGTTGTATAAAAATTGCATTTGTAAAAGGAGCATTCATGTACATTTGTCCTTTAGTTCCATTTATTTAGGCATAGTGCTCTCAAATCAAGTCCTTTAAAGTAATTTGCATATAGTTCATAAGCTAAAATATTGCTCAGTGTGAAAAATCTGTTTTTAAAAGATGGAATGTAAGTGTAGAATTCTTAACATAATGGCTTAGGCTTATATATAAAGCTCCAAACTTCATATGTAAGTGTAGTGGATTGATAGTGTTCTGTTACACAATATGAATATCTGCCTTGCCATAACAAATTCTTTGTCATAAACAAATGTTTTTCAAAGAAACATATATTGAATTATACTACCATTTAAAATAAAATTCTATAATTCAGTGATGTTTCTGGCCTTCATTTGAGTATCAAGGAAAATTTTTCTTGTTTGTTTTTATTAGTATAAAGTGGTATGCTCCTGAATGCTTTCATGCTGTTGTTTTAATTGAGATTAATTTGATGATTATGCGTTCCAAAAGTTGGTTGATTTCTCTGGGTTCTCTCTATCTAATATTCACTTATCAAAAGTCTTCAATAAGTATATAAAGATATAGCTAATGAATACTGTTCCAAAGTAGATTTTCTAAATCAAATGTAACTAGTAGAAATATATGTGGTTTATACATAAATGTTAAACAATTTAAATAATCCTAGAGGTCCATATCTTCTTTAAAAAGAGCACTTCAAAATCTTATGATGACTGTCCTATTATTTTCTTAAAAATGAAGGTTTTTTTTCACTTGACCACATATGAATATATATTTTTTATTTAGAGATAAAATGTTACATTAAGGTCATATGGCAGGATTAGCATATGATATTATACAGTCCTCTTAGTTTTTCATCCTTTATTAACAGTCATCTTTGGCTCTATTTCTCCTCTAATTGGAACATCATCTAGCCTTGGCAGTTGAACTATTCAATAGAACGATTAAATTTTTCTGACTGCTCTGAGCTGAATTGACCTGTTTTGACCTGTTTGTCACTGATCGTAACCTGACAGGCGCTAGCAGCCTGCAACGATTATAGCTTTTTGAGATGAATCTGACGTCGTGTTCTTTTGCTACAGCTCGTCACATGAGGAGACTGGGGCCTCTCACACTCTCTATGGCCATGGAGTTTGCAAATGGCCAGGCTGTGAAAGCATTTGTGAAGATTTTGGACAGTTTTTAAAGTAGGTTTTTTACTTTTTTTTTTTTTTGCGGGGGGTGCTGAATTATATGGGAGTTTTAGGAACATTGTAAATAAACAAAAGATGAAAGAGAAAAGTAAAAGTCCATTATAAGACACACTATAAGATTTTTGTGGGTTCCAACAAGTGGATTTAGCAAGGTCAGGCTTCATCTTTTCATTAAGGTATTTTACAGATTATTTAGTAAAGATTTTTGAATGAATGAAAAATATTAGCCTACAATAATATGTGATTAATCATTGGAGAACTTTATAACAGACCTGTTTGTAAAATAGAATTCTCTTAAGTTTTAAGTTTCTAATTAATATTATTTGAGTCATCATAATATATATATATTTCAGTAAACGTATTTTGAAGGCTTGTTTTTTAATTACAGGCTTTATATGTTTTTTAAAATAGTATTTAGTATATACATTTAACTACAAGAATTAAAAATGAAAGTTTATACTGGCTAAACTTTAAAGAAATAACTACATTTCATTTACATTGTTACTTTTTGCCCTTAGAAACATCAAGAAACACACATGGCTCTATCTTTGTATAACAGATTACATGGCTTCTCTAGCTTAAAACCAACACTTTGTATATTCTTAATTTGTAATACAGTATTTTATCTAAAAAAAAAATCTTAAGGAGTTCTTTTTCAAGTGAAAAGATTCATCTTTCATGAAATGTTTTCCTTACACAATTCTGGTATACAAGAGATCTAAACAGAGAGCTACAGATAGGCTTATGGAGATGAGTAACTTCACAGGCTGAGACTCTTATGTTGTCATGGTGCAGCTAACAGGGTGAGTGAACTGTTTCATGCTTCATCAACAATTAAGTTAATTAGCTCATTTGAAATTGCACTGCTTTGTTGCCAGGATGTTGGCAGAAACATCAAAAAGATGTGTTTACAAATGGAAGACTGACTACAGGGTATAGAGCAAAAGCACCTTAACAACCAGGCACAAGTACTTGGCATCACAATAACTTTAAAAATGAATTACAGTAAGACTTCCACAAAGATTTTTTTAACCTTTTATCATTTCTAACTAATTAAGAAAAAATTTGCTTCATATACCACTATGGCTCTTTGTAAATGGCCTTAAATGAAAATTTACGCTTTTCTTTTATCAAAACAGTTGTGAGCTGCCGTTTATTTGGGTATGAAACTGATTATAAGCAAAGAGACCATTAACAAATGTTAGGTAACTTTGCTGAAGTTTTCTTCTCTAAAATAATAATAATAATAATAATAAAGTTAAAGCAAAGAAAGAACATAGGGATGTTGTTTTAACAGATGATTTTCCATTTCCTCATGTGAATACATTTGTCCTTATCAATATATTATTCCTTGTCATTGAAATTAGGTAAAGGACTATTGTTACTGTTTTTTTAAGAATGGTAAATTATGCCATAGGACTAACCCACTCACCATGCATTTTATTGCTCCAAATTGTTCTTTCTGACAAAATTCAAAATAAATCTTTAGGGAAAAAATACGTATTTTCCTTCAGTATGATGTTGTTTATAGCAAATTGAAAGGAGCATTTAATTTTTCTCAAATATTTATGTGTTTATTACTAACAATCAGATGAATATGAACCCTCATTTTACCTTAGTCTTCTTTCATATTCATGCCAGTGTTTAAAAAAAAAAACCAAAAACAAAGAAATTACAATTAAAAAAGCATTTCCTTTCAATTAAATATCAACTTTGGTTCCAAAGACTGACCATTTTTCCAACCCATTAACTTTATAGGGATGACAGAACTAATGACAGGAGGTTTTAAGGCCTTTTTTAGTCCATTTTTTGTTTTCATATGCTGTAGATTCACTAAGTCAAAGATCTGTGATAAATTCTGTTAATAGAGCTAATGTAAGTATACTGAACCAAAGTGAAATATCGATTAGATATACTTTCCATAGAGGCATTGTCTTCTTTAAAATGTGTTAGAAATTTGAAAAGAAAGAAAATAATCTCACTAAATGAATTAACTTCAGTTATTCAAAAAAAGTTTACTTAGCATCTGTGTGGGAAGTGAAAATGAAGAAGGAAAGCATCACCAGTTACACAGATTTTCTCAGATGACTTTGTTTTCCTTTGTAATAATGGAGAAAACTGAGGATTTGGGGAGGCAAATGATAGGTAAATTAAAGTGCTGTGAAAGGTTTTTAGTTCTCATTTTTTCGTGTATCTGTTCTCCCAAAATTTTGTATCCAGTGTTTATTATAAAAGTTTTTTAGGAAAATAGAATTGTGACATTTTTAGTTCTAGTATGTAGTAGAAATAAATTTTACAGCTTCAGCTTTAATTTGATATCAGATAGCTTATCCTTTTGTTTGAAATGAAAGGAAACCATTCATTTTTACTATTTAGCTGACATATATCAAATTAAAAAGAAAGGTAGAAAATATATTGAGTCCCCAATTCCTTTTTTCACATTACATCTCAAAACAAACTAGTGGAATCCCTCTATGTTTATCTTGCACCAAATGAAAAGCCATTATAAAGGACAGTTGCTTATGTATAACACATATATATGTACCTGTATATTATATATATTTATGTATTTTATATATTTATGTGTTATATATTCTTATTCTTATATATTCTTTAATTTTTATATATTATTTAATTGAGGCACTCTTTTCAATTGGATAAAAAAAATTCACACTAAGTTAGAAGTAGTTATTTGTAACAGCAAGATGAAAGCAGAAAATACAAAATGATGAAGGAAATCCAGGATAAAAAGTGTTTAGGAAAATTTTTGAGTTTTACTGTAAAGTAGGTGTTGACAGAAGCTAACCATTTTTCCTGACCACTAATTGAGTATCTCACTAGATCACTAAAAGCATTTAATACTAGTTCTTCATTACTGTCTTATAAATGTCAAAGTGTAATAACATCTGACAAAACTTTAGAGTCTGCAAAATTAATTATCATTCCATTGGAACTAAGTCAGCTTGAATATAGATGGATTGATTTTAGAGCTTAAGCCAAAAGGTTTACAATATAACATTCCATTTAGCAGACAAGTGTTCTTGAACCTGCATGCATAGATGCCAGCACACAAAACGTCGTCTTAAGATACAAAGGTGGAAATACTCTCCTCTAAGAAAGGCAGGGTGGCTAGTGTCTATAAAGATATTAATGTATTAAAGATTAATTAATAGATGGGTGTAAATGAGTTAAATTTATTACAGATTAAATTTTTAAGGCTTGATACTATATGAAGACCAATAGAAAACATAGTGGAAACATAGTTTATTTAATAGAAATTTGTTGTCTTTTTTATTGCAGCTGACTACTCTAAAAATTATGCTCTTACTTAATGTGTATTGTCTATTTCTTTGTCTTTGACTAGGCAGCATGGCTACAAAATTATGACCTCAAGAAGGCATTCTTTGAACTTGTCAGAATGTTGTTTCTTTTGGTGACAGTGCCCCCATCTCTCAAAACTAAGGCATCTCACATAATCAACTAAATGAATAGTGACAGCTAACATTTTGTATTTAAACTCCTGTCAGTGTTTAAACATAAAAAGCTTGATGCAAAATAAATCAAACACCAGTGATATGCAAGTGAAACATTTTGTTAAAACAGTATTTGACATACTTGGATTTAAATCTGATCCCTTTTTAGCTTATAAAATGTTACAACTTTAAATGAATTTGAAGCATCCAAAGGTTAAAATTGAATCACTAATCTGGATTGTATATAATTGAAGTTACCACATACATTCATAATCTATAAAACCTTCATTAAAGAGAATTATGCATTAAATAAATTGGAAGGATCCTTTCCCACTTTTTGTCTTCCTGAAGTGCTTGCTTAATTGTTTTTAGAAAGAAGTTGACTGCTTATTTATGTTTTTTCTAGTTTATACTACCTGCCTAGCACAGATTCAATGCAGTTTTGAAAGGACGTCAGTCGACCACATCATTTATTCCATTTTGAAAACAAAAATCAATATACCTATAAAGTGACCCATAAATTAGAACTGGCTCACACAATGTTTGTTCAGTGCTGCCTTTCTGAAGGCACCCTTTGCATTTTTTCTTCACCTCTCTGTTTGAACTGCAGTCTCGGTAAGAGGCTCATTAGGGGACATTAGGGACTGGAGCTAACCAGAATTCCAGAGCTTGCTTTGCTCTTATTAATGCATAGTAGAGTAGAATGCATTTAAATATTTCATAGGCATTCAGTAATTTGTGTGTAATCGCCTTGTTAGCAGACCAGTAGAAGTAGAACAGGCCTGTGAAATGGTGTTAGTGATTGCATGGGTAATTTACAGACCTTTGGCATCAGAAAGAGTATTATTGTTGCCTTGTATGAAGCTGTGAAATAGAACTACCAATAAGTAAAAAAAGAAACTTAATAAAGGTTTTGTAACAAGCATCTTCAGGGATAACAACCCCACTTGGTCCTTTTGAAGCAGCCGTAATTTATGACATAGGCAATATATCAAATGCATAAGATAGTATTATGGAGCATTCATATGAAAAGGGTATTTGCAACATTAGTTCCAACTTCCTGCAAGGGACATGATTAAATGATTAATGAAATGTCCCTTTGCATATGCATTTTGAAACAGCAATTAGGCACTGACTGAGAAAATCCACCAATCCTCTCATTTTTCAGTATTATCTCATTCTTGATTTATAAATCATAGAGAATTTTTTAACAGTAATATGTAGTACCTGAGATAGTTATAAAAACATAAAAGAGAATAATTTGGGCACAAAATAGTCATAAATACATAAATTCATAATTTAATGTTAATACTTAGCCTATTTATTTAGTCTTATTGCATTGTATTTATATCTGACACTATTTCTGTACTTTGATTGGCATAATTAAGTAGAGGGAATGAATAGGCACTATTCTTTTACATATCACTGGTAAACAATAGCGAGGAAAGGAGAAGGGAGATGTGGCAGAGGTATGTATGTGTTTTTCAAGTTCTCAGTAATCCACTGGAGGCTGTTCTATAAATGATCATTGAAGGGCTGCAAGCTAGCCTATAATTACAGGAAAGAAAGTGGCAGCTCTGGCATTTCATAACTATGTGTCCTCGAAAAGTGCTTTGTGAGTTTGTCACCAATGATAATTTAGATAGAGGCTCATTACTGAACATCACAACACTTTAAAAACCTTTCGCCTTCATACAGGAGAATAAAGGACTATTTTAATGGCAAGGTTCTTTTGTGTTCCACTGAAAAATTCAATCAAGACAAAACCTCATTGACTATTATTGTAGTCTACAGTCTCTATTCTAATAAAAGCTGCATAGATAAATTGAATAGGTCTCTAAGACCCAAGTGTATAATGCAAACATTTTGTACTTTTTTTAGTTCTTTAAATATAAGATCATGATTATCACTAAGCAGTAAACAAATGTAAAAAATCATTTTAAAAAGTGATTTCGCACGAAAATAAATGTTATACTGACTGTGCCTTTTATTGCAGACCTGTATATTCTACTTATCTTGCTTCCTGCATTTACACCCTAATCTCAGTGTATAACTGAAGCATTTTTGAAAATATGCATCATTTTTTTTGATATGGAATAAATATGTTTGTGTTCCCCAAGAGTTCATGGTAAAAAAAAAAAAATCTTACAGAAACACAGCAATATGAAGCCTTAAGAATTCAACACACAACTGTATTATGCTGGTAGAAAATTGTCTTACTGTTCATTTAAATTTTGGAGGAAAAAACCCTGAAAAACAATTTTTAAATGTTGTCTTGTTATTTAGGAATTAGTGACACTTTCTGTTAACTAACCTCTGGTTTACTCTGACATTCCATACCTCCTTCCCAGAGAGCATGAGTGAATGTTACTCCTCCTCACAGGTTCACAGCAGAACAAACCTGAACTGAGCTTAGAGAGCAGACAGGTACAGTGGAAGTCCCTCCCCTGCACTCCAGCCATACTCCTGCAGCTTGACCTTATCCACCTTGCTATTTTAGTCCACAATTTCTCTTCAACCAAGACTGACATTGTGACAAGATACATGGAGGTTTTGTTGTTATGATCAATAAGGAAGCATTAAAACAAACTGGTTTAACTTATCAAGGTATAGGCAAAACAAAAGTTTCTGATTGTTGAACCTAGGTCTATAAACAAATCTTTTGTTTATAATAAAATTAGTTTTTTTCAGCAAAACGACTTTAATTACTCTTTATATGTTTTACATATATGTGTCTGTATTTTTTCTCCCTCGTTATGATCTTCAAGAAATAAAAGTAAATAATTTGAATGGATACAAAAATGTATTTGTTGAATTTAGTACACCCAGAGCTATTATAAACTTCTTAGACTATTATATCATTCTAAATGATACTTGAGCCCATGTGGGTAAATATGTAAATTATTATTTAATTTTGTGAATGTCTTTTCAATATGCCATTTCACTCATATGCAATGATGAGAACATCTCTAAAATTGTTGCCTTAGTTTGCCCATTGGTGAAGTAGATACACCAACGGATATTAAATTACTTGAAGATTACTTTCTTTAATTTTAGGAGGCATCAAAGACATCATATATTACAAATTAAAGAGTATATATTATTAAATGTTTTCATGTTCATTGGAGATTCTGCTTTACTCAATTACTTTTGGTGTATTAACATACGACTCATTAAAGAGATCTCTTTAAACATTGTATAGAAATAATAATGGTAGACTAATGCACATTCAAGGTAGACTAATGCATATTCAAGGTTAGAGTAAGATCATTGGAATGATTTATTTTTCACTATTTAAAAAATAAGATTAGGATAAATGTCTCCTAGTTAGGACAATGGACATGAAATGTCAATCTTATTATTCTAATGATGAGAATCTTCAATGAAGTTTCTTTATTACTAACAGCAAATCATCGTTCTTCATAAATATTGATGTTTCCACGGGATGATAATTTGCCATCTTTACCTAATTCATACCGCATCCCAATGAAATAAAACATTGCTCACTAAAATACATCGTAGAAACAACAAACTGTTCTAACAGAAATGAAATAGAAAATTGTCTTTGTTCTGTTCAGAATTGCTTTTGCTTCATAGATTTGTAAGCTGTTCTTTTTTTAAGAAAAATGGCATAAATAATATGACTTCTACTATAACTCTGTAAATGGTCTGGGGAAATATTTTTTGTAGTAACAGGTAAGCTTAGAGACAGTGACATTTTCTGCCATTCGAAGAGTCTCTTTACATTACATAAATAATTTCACACAACACGTAAGCAGCTTTAACTTTTTTCTGTATGGTTTCAAGGCTTTCTGTTTTCCCAGTGCACAGAGAAACATCTGACTTCAGAGTAATGCTTTTTAAATGTAGCCTATGCCACTGAGATCGACATCACTTTACATTCTGTTTTGTGTCTTCTGTTTGTTTAGGCACCTTAACAATGAACACGCATTGGATGACCGAAGCACTGCTCAGTGTCGAGTGCAAATGCAGGTGGTGCAACAGTTAGAAATACAGGTTTGTCAAATGCTCACTTAATGGACTCTTCTCAGAATTCTGGTATGTTACCTTGAGTACTGAGCAGATTCTGGGTCTTTCAGGCTGCATCTTATTGTCTTAGCCATACAATAACTAATGGAGATAATGGAATTTTAGATTGTTTTAAAGAGTGGCAATTACTGATAACCCAGAAAGGATTGCTGTAGTTTAATGTACTTTTCACTTATATTTTTATAACTTTTAGACCACATCATGTGCATTTGAATATCCCAAAGTAATCAGACCTAAGATTTTCCCAATGTAGGTTAGACCAAACCCCCAATTAGTTATGATTTTATTACAGAGACAGTTTTTATATGAGCTAACCCTGATTTTTTTCCACGAGATTTTATATTATGGCCAACAGCCGGTCTTTACAATATCATGCCTGTAATATAACTAACACCCTGAAAGATAACCTTTTCTTTTCTTTTTTGTAGTGTAATTTTAAAGAACTTGCAAAAAATCTTTATAGTTTTCTTTAGCTAGATTAAAGGCAGATAATTTATATCACAAATGATAATACGCATGTTGTTTCAAATGCTGTTTTAAGTTATAAAAAATTCTATTAATGTTGAAACAGAATTTG